TCTTCCACAATATTATAAAACAGCCCAAGTAGTTCTGTTAAAATGAAGCAGTCCATCATTTCAGGCTGCAGCTGTATTAGCCAGCTGGTATCAGGTGTTTCATCTATTCTTCACAATCACTGCATAACCCCAGCTGGAAAATCATGCCCAGTCACATCCAGATTCTACTTATGTGTTATACTTTGCTGATTTAATATCCATGTATATGTTTATTACAACACAATCGTTGCTACTTGGAGCCTTTTTCCCACCACATCAGGCCGTACAGCCGCCTCTGACTGAACTTGTAATTTAATCCTGTCAAACCTCAGCATAAACAATTAGATATGGTCAGTTTCATTCATTACGGAAAATAAATTACCAGTCACACACTGGGGCATGCTGACGGTGTATTACTGCACGCTCTGGCATCATCATACTCACTCTCTTCTTCTGACAAGTGTCGCAGCGTGACCATGCACTCCACTCCGACAACACACAGTCCACCGGCTGAACCACCTGACCACCCGCTGACCGAGCTTCACGGACACTGCTGGTTGTTGTTACTGCAACTTTGCTGCGACATGCGAAGGAAAATCCAGTCAAAACACATCATCAGGGGAACCCCTATAGCTCTAGTTGAGTGGGCGACCCATGAGAGGGGCTGTAGTTCCCCAACCCAGCGGTCGTGGGTTCGATTCCCGCTCACAACCCTTTGCTGCAGGTCTCTCCTCATTCTTCTCCACCCTTTCCGGTCTATCTCTACTGCTCTAAATAAAGGCAAAAAGCCCAAATATATGTATATATTAAAAACACAACATCAGCTTAGCTTCTGTGGGAATCAGTCAAACTTGAGGCTCACTAAGTGTCACCTTGTCTTTGAAGGTTGCATCAGTGGAAGTTAAACTCAACCAACAAATGAACACAATACAGTTGATTAAATCTCCTACCTTAGCAGCACCCAACTCAGAGCAACACAAAGCAGACAGCTGTGCAAACTGAGCGCTCTCGTCTGGGTCATCACAGAAAGCATGGTTGTGTGTTATGACCGACTGCGAGCGAAGGAGAAGAGACACCGCTCGGCTCTCTATGTAAACACACACTGATCGATACCGGCCTCCGTATGAACTCACTGCTGCCATTAGAGCCAGAGGTGGAGCTGAGCACACAGCGGTGCAGGACCTCCAAACCACAGAGCGGCTGCTGGTGGTGATGTTTGGCTTGTTGACATGCAGGTAGGTTTACAGGGCAACAGTCTCATCACACACTTTATTGTG